TGTAATTTTCTTTTTTTGTGTTGTCCTTGTCTGGTTTTGGTATCAGGGTAATGTCAGCTTCGTAGAATGAGTTAGGGAACTTCCCCCCCTCCTCACATTATAGAATGCCTGCCATAAATCAGACAATCCTAAGCATTGAAGATAGGTGAGTAAACTGTCATAGAAACTGCCCTCCTGAGCATACAGTGGGCCAACAATCCTAAGTAAATATAAGAAAGAGGGAAGCCAAGGTGCAATTGGAGTGTTTCTTACATTTTAATGAGCATGTGAATCACCTGAGGGGGGAGTCTTGTTAAAATGATTATTGATTAAATAAGTCTGGGGGTGGGGACCGAGTTTCTGCATTTCTAGCAAGCTCCCAGGTGATGCTGCTGATCCTTGGACCACACTGTAAGTAATGAGAAAATATAAAACATAAAAGGGAGGTTTTTTGGTTTTCTGAACTTCTCAGTGATTTGAATGTAAGCAAGGGACAAAGGCTAGATATGTTTACACTGAGATACTGAAGAGCCTTGTAGGAACAAGTGAGGATAGCCCAACCTGCACGTCCAAGCCCTCTTATTACCATATGCAAATAGCCCTGTGGCCACCCTTCACACCTACAGCTCTGCCTACCTTTGAGAGGGCTGACCTGGGAACAAAATCCCCAGAGATATGATTGGTGCCACTTGGGAAAGGATTCTAGGTGCTTTAGGATATAAATTGGCTCCAGTGGGTGGGATCATGAGATAGCATAGATCCAGACAAAATGGTATCTACAGACATGGAACTGGGTTCGGCATGTGAATGGACTCAAATCCTCATGTATGCTTGTGTGTACATACTTGAGTGGAATTAGGGAGTTAAGTGCAAGGTCCCCTGAATAAAGATAGAGTAAAAAGTGTAGAGTGTAGGGTTCTTTGTTATATATTCTCAATCCTGTGCTGTGTTCTAAGGCTTCTCTGGTATATAACAGAATGAGGGATCCATAACACAAAATAAGGGATAAAATATCAGTTAATCTGGAGTTCCTAGGACTTAACCTTAGAATTATCACTCTCATCATTTTTCTTCATTCTTTAGTCAATGGCTAGCCATTCCTATGGGACGAAGGCATTTCATTGAATAATCTAATAGTCTATTGCCATTTAATAATTATTTTCATTATCTCTACTTTCTGCTCTCATTTTCCCTGTTATCTTCAAGAAAAGATAAGTAAAACAAAGATACAAATTAGATTATAAGACAGATCATATATGACAATGGAACTGTGACCCACAACCTCAGCAGCAAGCAGCCCAAGAAGCCAAACCAAACCTCTGTAGCAATCAGCTCAGAATGGTCAGGACTTAGTCAATGACTACTGACTTCTCTATTTTTTGCCCTCACTTCCAAATCAGAGGCAATCGAAGACAGACAAATGTGCTTCTGAAACCAATCGTAGAAGATGTTTTTTGTCTACTTAGCCCACCTATAGCTTCCTCATCCCAACACAAAGTGCACAAGCATCACTTATGGTCACCTGGTGCCAGCTTATGGGCTCATCTGTCTAAATCCTCTTGTCCTGCAGGAAAAACTCCTGCTTCTTATATGTATTCTCATTACAGTCTTAATCCTTGTGCCTATCTCTAAATGCCATAACAGCTTCACCAAGGATGATATGGGCCTTCAGTGTCCACTCTGGGGAATAGTTAACTGGACAAAATTGTTAATTTGAGAATCATCTTAGAAAATAAAGGGAATGAGGGCAGCGTGTTTTATTGGTATATAGAGGCCAACAAACAAAATTTTGATTCAAAAATTGCTTCACTAAAAGGTTCTTTGGCCAAATTTAACAAGCAATTTGACAAACATAGGCAATAACAAACTAGACTCATTTCTCTTATAAATCTTGACTCCCCTTGTCCTCCATTGGACTCCCTCTATCTGGCTCTCCTCTCCCGCTTTGTCCTTCTGACTGTTTTCCTTCCACATGTCCATTGACTCCTTCCTTCTCTTCGTTTTGTCCAGATCCTTCACATTTTCTCAGTGACTCTCCTAATATCCCAGAATAGCAGTTGCCTCTAAAGATATATCCCTCCCATGAGCTAGGTGTACAGGCAACAGTAGAATTCAAATCTTAAACCCATGTTAAATTTAAGGCTATAATTAAGGACTTTCCTAAACCCAGAGAAGACCAGTAGCTATTTAAAGGAGAATTTAGAATTATTTTGGATGAATATGACCCAGAGTTGCCTGACCTATACCAACTTGTACATATACCGATCAGAACCTCAGATGCCAAATCTTGAATGGCAAAAGTTAATTGAACTGACCCAGAAAGGGACCTTCTTTCTGTAAAGGAAAGATTCTTCTTTCTACAGTAAACCTGAGGGTCAAAAAGGCAAACATATCCTAATAGCCATATTGAAACATTTCTAATAAAAATCAATCGAACCATAATTCACTCACACAAACAGAGAAAATATGAAATTAGAATGGGAAATATTCCCTTTACATGAACTACAGGTGTTATAACACCTGGCAGAACATTTTGAAATTGTGTTTGAAGAATAACAAGACAAGACTCAAATTATGGCCCTGCAGATCAAGGAGCTGGTGGCACATTTCCCAATAGACCATCTGTTGACAAGGACACTTGTAGATATTTTAAACAGAAGAGATATTTTGAACAAAGGACTATCCCGTCTTACAAAAGATAAACCAAGACAAAGAAAAATCTCTCAACTCAGATCAAAAAGCGTACTCCAAGGAAAGAAAAAGCATCCAATATCCTGCCTTACCCTTAAACACTTAAGGTGAATTAACTATAAATATATATAGTCAACCTCATCAACTTCTGGAAGGTATGGGCACTACTCTTTCTACATTAAACCTTGTTACCTTTGCTCGCCTTCTTCCTTGGAGTAAACATAGCACTCAAGTGCTAGGTATGTGTAATAACCCACAGATTTTCCCTATCTATTAGCCCTTAACTGTAACGCTTGGACCTTTAACAACATTACTTCCTGCTCTGTGATACCAACCCTGAAAATTTAATAGGGAGCTAATACTTTGCGAATGAAATTGTAATATTAATTGAACAACAGAGGTACTATTACTTGAGCTTTGAGGACTCCAATATTCAGAATCAAGTTGTGCCTGCTCTGGGTATACCTTTGTCTTCTCCATTGTATTTGATGCATATATCAGTTAAAGATCCTAATGCCATACTGGACACTCTGTGGACTAAAAATTCTGCTGACATAGGAAAAATAATTGGAGCAGAATCTATTAAAGTTCAAACAGATCCTACCAAACTGTTACTAAAATTCCCCAATACCCCCTGAGGCCAGAAGCAGAGAAAGGACTCAAACCTATACTTGAAGGCTTTATATCCAAAGGCCTTCTCATACTCTGCACTAGCCCTTGTAACACTCCTGTCTTGCTAGTAGAAAAACAAAATGAATGAGGATATCAATTTGTTCAAGATCTCAAAGTACTCAAAAAAAAATTATATCTCTCTTCCTAGTAGTACCTAACCCAAATACCATCAATTTTGCCCAAGGCCACCTGTTTCACCATAGTGGAATTTTTCTCTGCTCTTTTCAGTGTGCTCCTAGCCCAGGACAGTCAATACCTGTGGAGGACAATGATATATGTGGAAAGTTATGCTCCAGGGGTTCACTGAAGCTCCCTCCTATTTTTCCCAAGTCTTCATTCAAGACTTAAAAAGATCTAAATTTCCGGTGTGACTCAGTTCTGATACAACATGTAAATGATTTGTTCAAAGAACAAATACTTTGTTCAGAGAATGAGGAAGCCTGTAAAGAAGATTCTATTTACTTGCTCTCAGTGTTAGCAGAGAAGGGACATAGTTTCAAAAGATAAATTACAAATCTGCCAAAGCACAGTCTGTTATTTAGAGTATGACCTAACTAAGGAGGGAAAACACTCTTCGAATAGACTAAAGATTATTCAAACATAGTGTAGACCCCTCATAAAGTATTAACTAAGAGAACTTCTAGGCTCGTCTGGATATTGCAGGCAATGGGTGTCAAGTTTTTCTGAGATTGCAACACCTCTTTATGAATTGACCAAGTCATCAATAAGAGATCCTCTCCCCAAGGAGCCGAAACGTGAATGGGTCTTTTCAACCTACAAAAGGCCCTTTTGTCTATTTGTGCATGTGCAATTTGGGCACCTCCTTGGGATTTTAACTCAACATCATGAGAACCATCAAAAACCCATTGCCTACAATAGCTTTACATTTGACCTGGTTGCAAGACTTATCTCCCTTGTCTTAGAGCAGTAGCTGCCGCTTCAAAACTTGTTGATGCTTTCCCCCAACTAGTTCTGGGTAACCCAGTTGACCTCATGATGCCTCACATGATACAGTTTCATTATTGATTGAGAACACACAATACTTTTCAGGAATCCAATTAACCTCTTGAGATTCTCTTATTTTCTCCCTGTCACATTACTATTCACTGTTACAACATCGTGAATCCTGCCACTCTCCACTCTCTTGCTCCTACGATAAAAAGGGAATCTCATGGTTGTCTTACCTCAGATTGGGAACTTTCTGTACCTTGCTCAGATTTATAGAGATTTTCATTGTGAACTGTGGCCTATTATTATTTGTTGCTGGATCATGTCTTAAAGTTGAAACTGAAGTCTATGAAGTGGGATATGCTTTCACTAAATGAAGCTCTCCTTTAGAATATAGTTCTCTCTTCTGAGATAAAATCAGCCCAAAAGGCAGAACTTTTTGCACTTACTAGAGCTTGTAAACTAGCTGAAGAACAGAGAGTAAATGTTGATACAGATACTCCACTGTTGTGGAGTAGTGCATGGTTTTGGGATGCTTTAGAAACAAAGGAGATTGTTCACCTCTGCTGCAACATCCACCAGAATGGACAGGAAGTTGAGGAACTTTTAAATGCACTTCTACTTCCTAGAGAGCTGGCTATTATAAAGTTTGAGACCCATGCAAAAGGAGAAAATACGGAAGCTAAAAGAAAATATCTATCAAATGATTATGTAAAACAAGCAGCCTTAACTAAGGTCGTGATCCTATCTAAACGACAAACCTCAGGAGGGGTTCAAAGGGGCTATTAGGTAATATCAATGTATAGCTCCTTATTTTGAAAAGGAAGAAAGGAAAACATCTGTTTGTACCCTTCACTCAGATCGTCTGTATGGTCACAACATGGCTGGTTGATGGCATCAGATGATCTCAAATAGATATTAACTAAATTTCTCCATGAAACCACTCATCAAGTTACAGACAAATAGCTTAATATCTTAAATCAACATTGGGAAACAAAAAAAAAACCCAGGATAGTTTATACTCAGGTCATGTGCCATATGTTAATAATATAATACTGGAAAAACTCTAAAGATAGAGCATGGACATGAAACAAAGCCTTAAGGGTCACTTGACCACCTTGAATGAATTTTATCTAGTTCTCTCCCTCCATGGGATTTGAATATGTTTTCATTATTCTATATCTATTTTCAGGATGGGTGAAATCCTTTCTTTTCTCAAGAGATATAGTCTCTAAAATGCTGTTGGATTTTGTGTTTCCAACCTAGGTTTACCAACTTTTATATCAAGTTATAAGGCACAAATTTATGGGAGACATGAAAGAACTCTATAAGGTGTTATTCCTCACTCAACAAATACACTGCCCTCACTACCCATAACCTTCTGGAAAGGTTGAAAGAACCAGTGACATCTATCAAGTATACCTAGGAAAACTTTCAGAAACCCTTAAGTTCCCTTGGCCAAAGCTACTCCTGTTACCCCTTTTGCCATATAGTTCATTCCCTTGGGGACACATCAGTTATCCTTCTAAAAACTAAAAACTGGAAGGCTCATGCATTTAAAGATTTCACTTCTGATACCAGACTCTGCTCTGCTGCACACAGGCATGGCAAAATATTTCAAGGGACTTGGGTACTATACCAAATCTCATTATCAGCACGTTAAGGCTGCCTTTCCACAACATCAATATGATCTTTAGTCTCTTCATCTTCAATCAGGAGATTTTGTCTGTTGGAGGGGAGACATCAGAGAAAACTTTGCTTGAAACTCATAGGAAGTAATCTTAGGTATCGTTAGTAATGAATATAGCAGTGAAACTCCAGAAGGTCAATCCTTGGGTTCATGTTTCACAACTAAAGAAGCAATTGAGAATCCACACAATTAGAAGTCTACTCTAATAGAGGAACTCAAATTGCGGATTCCCAGAAATCTAGAAGCTGCTTATTTTCAGAAGTAGACAGTTAACTCAAGACCTTTGAACAAGTGATGACCTTGGAATGTAGACAGCTTCTGCTCAAGATATCAGACCAAGAACCCTGTGTAATTCCTGTTTTGTTTTTATCTGTTTGCTTATAATCACATCTCTTTTCATTTTCCTTGATGGTTGACCATTCTAATGGACTTTTTCTCTTTTCTTTCCTTTTCATTATAATTGTTAGGTCAGAACATATTCATTCTAACACCATTCTCAGATTTCCCAAATAGTAGCCACTGCCCTCAATCTTCTGGACTGCCGCATATGCCACCCATCACTGTACCCCCACGATAAAAACCTCTGGGCAATTCTGGTCTCATCAAATTAGACCATAGGGAATTACAGTTGATGGCATTTCGACTTGAATCTACACGGAAAATGACCTTTAGCAAATCAAGTGTAACTTTGCTAGTGTTTCTCTCTCTCGGAAAAAGAACAAATTATTATAATCTATTGATCAGACCCTAGGTAAATCTAAATTTGAATTCAACAACCTTTGCAAGGCAATGAGCTATATACTTGCCATACGAAAAAGAAAAAGAATAATTTGTAATTCAAATATATAATCCAGCTAATGTAAGGCCTTCATTCTGACCTTGTGTCATGTACAAATCCTTTTTTCCTGGATCTCCATGTACTCCTACTGGATACTACTTCCTATGTGGGCTGGGGATGCCTGGTTCTCTTTGTCTCATGCTAACACTTCATGCACCTTTGGAATTCCAAGACTTGTATGTCTGTAGAAAGACTAATTTTATAAAGCACCAAGACTGGGAATTCTGATTCATGTATAGTTCCAAAAGGAGATCATCTTTGATTATTGAGGCACTCTCCCTAAGAGGACTATTGACTCACTGTTTATGCAAGTGATCAGAGCAGTGTTCCCAGTGGTGGTAATCATACAAATAGAAAAGACAGTAAAAAACATCACTAACTGACAGAAGTTATTAATGATACTGCCAATGCCTTGCATGGAATGCTGATCAGTCTTAGCTCGTGTCCGTGAGTAGAGATGGACAATTGCATTGCAGCAGATTTGTTGTTGACTAGTCATTTTGGTGTCTATGCCATTACCAATATTTCTTGCTATACTTGGATCAATGAAACAGGCAAGATAGCACAGGCTATACATCATGTAAGGATAAAGCTACTTGGCTCTTTAAGGTTGATTCTCATGGCCTATGGGATTAGTTCTCTTGGCCTGAGTTGGGCAATTAGGATTCTTTCTTCCAAAGATTTTATAGAGAGTATTAATGTTTCTTATTTTTGTCATAGTGGCCTTGATGCTGGTTCATAGCATTCTTTCTAGAATCTTAAGTGATTCTGTACAGTCACTTTCTTGTCAGATGCTTGCCATGATGATAGAACAACAAAAAGGTCAAGAAGATCTCATGATGCAGTGGACTATGGAGACAACTGAACAATTCTTGAGCAGTGAAGATCTGGATCTTTAGCCTTCCCTGAATTGTTCAAGCTCTCTCCAGTGGGAAAATGACCAAAGGGGGGATGTGAGACTGAATATACCAACAAACAATAGCTGGACCAAATGTGATAACAGGACTCTGACCCACAAACCATTGTGGCATCCAGTTGAGTAAGCCAAACCACACCTCTGCAGCTATTGTCCCAAAATGGTCAGGACTCAGTCAATGATTGCCAGCTTCTTTATTTTTTGACCCTGCTTCTAGCTCAGAACCAAGCAGAGAAAGCCAAATATGTTCCTGAAACCAGTCACATAAGATGTCTCACTTCTAGTTAGTCCACCTCCAGCTTCCCTAAGCCAGCAACCTCCAACCAAGGCACACCTGAAGCCTTCCTCCCCCTTTTTTAACTGTGAAGCTTCTTACTCTCCTGCCTGCTTTGAGTCTCTGCCAAATGGATTGATAGTAGCTGACTCCCTTGCCATACAAAGCTCTCAATAAATATTGTTTGTTCTCATTTAGGTGCTCTCTGTTAATTCTATAGCTCTTAGCCATAATCCCTATTGCCTGAATCAAATATTTTAAGTGTTAGTTCTTAAGATAGTGGTTGTCAAAATGTTAGTGTGCATCAGAATCACCTGGAAGGCTTGTTAAAATACAAGTCTCTGGGCCTCACTCCCAGAGTTTATAATTCAGTAGATCTTGGGTAGGGTCAAGGATTTGCATTCTAACAAGTTTTCAGACGATGCTAATGTTGCTGGTCAGGTGAAAACATTTTGAGAAATGTTGCCTTAAGCCACTGACATGATTTAATGACAACAGCAATAATACCTGGATTTATGTAGTGTCCTTGCTCACAATGAGATAATTGTGTAAAATCTATGGGCCCAAAGTAATATTTTAAAACATGACCTTCTTTGGAAACATATACCTTGAGTTGGAGTTATGAGGTTATAAGAGGAAGAAAAATGAATTTGATTAGAGTTGGAGGGAAATGTCTTTACCTTGCCCATAATTATGATTTGTTTTGTCCTGTTGGGATAATTAGCCATACTTCAGCAAAGAGAACTAGAAGACTTTGTACTTATTCATGATCCAGGGATGAAAAGACGACCTCTTACCAAACAAAAAAGCTGAAAAGAAAATTTGGGGGGTTAAATTAGTTGTCATTGCCTTGTATCAGAGAAAGATTAATAATTTAGCAATAGCATCTGGCCATTAATTGATTACTCCCTTAGTAGGTTCCACACTGTTATTTGAGTGGAAATAGTGATGCAGAAAGCTGGGAGAGAGGGAAGGATATAGATGCAATTCTTGCCGAGTCAACAAGGAAGACCTAAAACTCCAATGATGGCATTAAGAATCAAGGGTTAGCAGTGAGTCCCCCTTTGGAAGCCCATGGTCTTACTGCTGCATATAGATCTTGGCTGACCTGCGATTGTCACCCCTCCCTCCCCACCCCATGTATATTCTCTGTTCTCTCCTACCAACATTAATTTTCTTCCCTGCTCTACCTTTCCTATGTTCCCCACAACCTAAATACATCAGCTGTCCCAATAACCAGATGATGTTCATTGCCTTCTACTTTATCTTGCATTTTTGCTTGAATTGTCTGAATTAAAAAAAAAAAAGATAAATTTCAACATAGATTGAACAGTTTCCTGTGTAATCTGCCTTTCTAAGATTTTTCTCATAACAAAAGGAATAGTCAAGTGTTTGCTTCTTCGCGTGTTCCACACTAGAGAACATTTCTCTCCAGTCACTGAGAAAACAATTTTTCCAATAGCCAGTTTTGGTCTGCTTTTTAAAATTTGAAAACCAGGACAGAATAAAAAACACACACACAGTAATGGTAAAGAGGTGAAACAGGTCTAAAGGGGATTATGTAAAGAACTGGATTGTTTAGCTAAGTAATGTAGCAGATTCAAGGTTGCATAAAAGGGTCTACCTTGTGGTTAAACATGACCACCTAATAATTTTTTATGAATGATGTCTTATAGAATGAAGAATGAAGCCAATTACAGTTTCTAATGGAACATTTGATCTCAGTCAATGATTCTGAGGCACCAAATGCCTTCAGGAAGCTTTCTTCCCAGCTGGAACCTAATTTATGGACCCATTTTACTCTGGATAATGCAAACGTCCTTTGTGGCTTCTTTGAGGTCAAAAAGGCATCACTGGGTGCTGTTTAGGAGTAAGTTTCTTTCTAAATAAGATCTGACTGGGTCATTACCCAGAAGCAATAATTGGGCCATCAGGGACAAGATGAGCTCAAAATGAAAGAATTATTCACTGGCTAAAGATGATAAGCCACTAAGGCAAAATCAGCAAAGACCACAGATTGTGTCATTAGAATTAAACCTTTCTCCTGCTTATTTAAATGGAAGGAGGAATTGACTGTATCTGATTTGTTCAATAAATATTTTAAGGTGGAACTTCTAACCAAAAGTATTTATTGCTACCCATCCCCCCAAAAAGAGAAAATCCAATTATTGTGAAGCAGCAAACAGTTGAGGAGAAAATAACAAGTCTACTTAGAGAAAAAAATTACTTATAAAAATACTATCTAAACATGGCTATGAAGGAATTGGGCTACTTTTAATAAATTTTAAAGATAAAGCATTTCATATTTTTTAAATGAAT